ATGACATAGACTCAACCTCTGCTGACGCTCCTGCACGCTAGTAGCACTACCAACGTAAGGAGTGCCAACTTCTAGCGCGTGTGTAATATCGCATCCTTCGACAATGGTCTGCTACTAGTCCAAGCTAAGATTTTATGACGCTCAAGGTACACGCATTCCAATGAAGCTTTCAAGCGAGTTTTGTAACTTTGCTATATGAGGATAAAATACGATGCGCAAAAACTGTGAAAAAAGAATTACAGAAGCCTGCTACGACAGCATTGCAAAAAATGCAGAATTTTGAGTTTTCTTGACCGGAGAAGAGAAAGCAGAAGAAACAGGTATACATCCATGAACAGTGCTAATCACTATATGCACTGTTAGAAACTTTCAAATTCTGAACCTGAGCTGGCATATAATTTAGTGCGTAGCCCCTTTGCGAGTTGAAAACAATAATTCATTGACTCTCCGCAAAGACGTTTGTTTGATGTGAAAATACCGATGCATCAACTTCCCCTCAAATACAAAGTTTATTGGTCTTAGCAGAACAGTCAAGAATGCTGAACAGTCACTTCGGTCGGTGGGCTTCCTGGTGATTTATCGGGTTCACTGTCAAAATCATATTTGAAAACAGAATGGGCGTTCGACGGGGATTCGGCCATCTTTCATAGCTGGCCATGTCTCTGCATTTGTCACCAACTCAATCATCGAAATAACTGATAATAAGACCACGTGATAAATATAAAAATGTTGGGATCTAATGCTAGACATATCCAACACTTCTTTGAATTCCATCCTCCGAAACATGTCTGTAAACACTGCACACTGGGTGTGTTAACGATGATGATAATGATGATGATAGTAATAATAATGATTATGATGATCAAGGTCTACGTAGCTAATAAGCCAATTTTCTTAATCAAGCCAATTTCTTCACCGCATCCTCCACACCTTTAGCGTATGACAATCAACGAACACAAAACTGCGAATGGGCTAGACAAAAGAATGAAAAGTGCGTTAGGGAGGCATAAACTAAAATAATTTCTGACATTTTGAAGGTAAATGGTTGTTGTACATCAGACAGGTGCAATTTATATTTTAAGAAAAAAATGTCGGGGACCGAGTTTGACCGTTCTTTACACTCACCGGATCAGCAATCTTTACGATCCAGCTGGGCGGAATGATGAGATTGGCATGAATGCCAAGGTGACAGTCTGCGTTGTAATGGGATCTTTGTAGGCACTCAGATTTACTGTGGTAGGAGATCTTACACCAGGTGCACTGCAGAAAAGGCGCATCCTAAAAGGAGGGTTAAATAGAAACAAGTTGCAGAAAATTTTGAAAAAAACAACATTCTGGGTGATAGAAGGCGGATTGGCACAAACAGAAAATTATTCCTTCAAAAAGTTATTTATCCAGTTAAATATGATTGATAAATCAAATGTTACCCAACACTCGTGTGGCGTATTTCTTGGATTTTTTGAAGATTTGTCTACGTATTCTTCTGCTAGTGAATTAGGAATAAACGGAAATAAACGCCCAGAAACTAGATACAAATTTAATCGAGTAAATTTAATCGGATAAAAAGTTATTAAACGTTATAGTCAGCGGAAATAACTCTGCAGTGGGTCTTTGAAATCTACTGTGGGTTGTAGTTAAACTCAATCACTAAACCAGGTATTTATTGACATAGCAGTAGGAAAGCTAGGGGCAGGATTTTTCGACTTCGATTGGAAGCAAAAAAAACTCGGAAGTACGTCTGCAACCTAAAAGGTTTAGCAGTTTCGTATTTATAGTCAGCCGAAATTATGTATATATTATAGATTGAAACTTTTGTATAATGATTTGTAGAAAGGTACTGGAAACCTGGGAGGGTCGAGTTAACATAAAATGATTCATTTTAAAGTCTTATTTCATTCAATACCTTTGACAGTTCGTCGAAGAAAATTTATTCGTCCTAACCGTATAGTGAACACAGGTACATAATTTTAAGTTAATCGGAAAGCATATTTTTATTTCTCGAAGCGCTGTAAGTTTTATTAATTCGTTTAGTGTTAACAATACGGGCAACGCATAAACTGACACCTTATTAGCATTGGCTAATGAAATCTAACCGACCGGTTACGAGACGCACTCGTCCCAATACTAACCAGCAAATCAACCAGCCCAGATCGCAGTATGTCACAGCGTTGGCCTTCCAATCAACAGGTCGCGGTATGGCTGGCTGATGATAGCTAATGAGCCAGAATCGACCGCGTTAGTCACTTTGTCCCCTTCAGCAATGTTCATCTGAATGTTATTAGTGATGTTACCAGTGCCTTTGAAGTTCCTGCCATTCTTACTATTATTGCTATTGCGATCGCAGCTACCACTTACGAAAAAATGATCACCAACACGGCTATAGATATCATTGATCTGCTAGCCTTGCTAGTAAATGCCAGCAGTAAGGGTTTTTGGAATGGTAGCGCTAACACTCCTATTTTTCTGTTATTTTTTCTACTTTCCCTATAATTATCGTCCACTGTTATTGACAGCACTGCTGGTATTAATACCATCGAACGTATTGTCTAAAATTACAGTTAGTAGTACTAATCACGAAAGGAAAGTCCCTTTAGTTAAAGACAAATGATTTTTTGGGAGAATTGCGATTTCTTATATTACTTGTCGCAGCTTTTACATTCTTTTCGTGGTCGAACTTCAATAAGAGGTTGTAGAATTCATTTAAAGTGACCAAAGCGCTGTTCCTTTGGAGAGTTTGCTCCAATAGTGGTAGGGAATCTTAAGTCACTTCCGAAAGCGATCATAGTTTTTATATTTGATCGATCACAAATATGAGCAAACTCGGTTAGGTTTAACTGAAATAAACCTCTTAATGAATACTATGATCTGGTAAAGGACCCGTCTCCCGAAATAAAAATGGTCGTACCCTAAACGGCAGGGCACTTTTCACTTTTCTGCAGTTCATACTTTTGAGCGAAAATATATAAACTGCATCAGAACTGTCTAAGAAATTAGTAAATTATACTTTAGACTCAAAATCCTTTAGGTGGGGCTTATAATATAGGCAAATAGGAGTATGCCAATAATCATGCCATGTCATGAATAAAATGTCATGTCATTCCTCTGCGCTACAAGTGGTTGTTTCGATCTCAGAGAACTTCGTACACATGAATCTATAATATAACGGCGCCTTTAGTCAGAATATCTCTACAAACTGCGAAGCCTAAAGGCGAAATGCAAACCAATTAAGTTAATTCTGGGGCAGAAGTAAAAACTCACCTTGAAGAAGAACATGTTTTGCGCCGACTAAAATACAGAGAGTAAGTTGAGCGGATGATTCATCGAATAGCAAACACACAAATGCGGGAAAACGCGGCAAATCTGAAAAACACTCCAGATAAACTTATTAAGGATGTTATTAACTCGAAATTTTTGGACTAACTTCTAACAAACCCACAATTAATGGAAATTGAATACTATATAACAATTGAAGAGAAAATGTGACATAATTCTTTTCAAATTAAAACGAAATATAGCTCCTTGCTTGTACTATGGCAGGTTATTGACAAAAACCCGAGTCCTTAATAGGGATTTTATAGTTCCAATCCTAGAATTCTGAATACGGGTAAATATTTTTCCCAAGAAATGTTAAGGTAAAAACCTACTCTTTCGTAGAAATTTCAGCTCTGCTTGATTTAAGAGCTTTCACGGGTCAATTCCATCTATTCCCAGTGGACTGAGTCCGATAAAAATTATATCAGAATAGCCGCAATTTTTTCGAATATCGCGATTGTTTTATAATATTACTCAAGAAGTTGAATACTTCATTATTAAATGCTAGCCAACCGTATGGTTCCTAACGGCCCGTAATCGCACGTCTTGCCTTGCATGGAAGTTTTAAAAAGCATTGTGCACTTTCATAAATGTCAAAAAGTATAGGACAAAAAAGAAACCTTTCCACAGGCATTGCATTTGAGGTCCTTCTGTCGCCTTTCAATCCAGTGATGCTTCACGGAGGACTGGAAAAAGGAAGGGAAATGTAAAGACGAACGTATTAAGTCTGAATTATGTTATCAGTCAAATGGAACAGGTCTGTCACAAAGCACTCTGTGATGCGTGGATTTCTGTATTTGTTTTTCGCTCTTCACGGTAGGTCATTAGTAAATATATTAAATATGAGCTACAAATTTGTCAAACCGGTGTTATTTCTCATAGGATTCGCAGCTTCTGCTAATTTGGCCTTCAGTTAGGGTATGACGAGTATCCGTATTTCTTAGTGAACATTCGCCTTTGATGCCACCGGGGGAACGATAGAATCCATTAATTAAAAATATTCCAAATAATTTTATTTGGTTTCAAAAGATTTGAGAAGGAGTACAATGCCTTTTCGATATTCTTAAATTACTGACGGTTTCAACCATTTTTTATAACTTATGACTGAAAACAAACGTTTTTACATGTAAGATGGAGTTTTTTCCGGTTTACGAGAAAATTCCATTTTCCCCTAGAATAAATATGTTGTTTTTTTTTGCGTTGAAGCATAAATAGACGATTTTTGGCCACACATCTTTTGTGGATAAGTGCTCCATTATTCAGTTTTGTCGTAGTAATATTTTTACTTAAACAGCAAGGAAAAATAAAATATAGTAAAGATTTAACGAACCATTTAAAAATGGTAAACGTTCGCAAACAGGTTTTGCAATTTAAAAAAGTCTGAAACACCGATATCCTCATATATTTAGATTTACAATCACGACAAATTCAAGAACACAAAGTGTTGATATTTAAAAAAAATTTCGATTGACCTTTTAACATCTCTTGGTGTAAGTTAAGGAAGAATCACTGATTGCGAACAAAACAGTTTGATTTATTTGACTATACATGAAAATTGCCTATTTGTCGCTCAAGCTGTACACAAAGGAGTGTTGGCCATTCTTTTTGTATAATATTCCAACGAGGAGCAGCTTCGGTAAAAAGTAGAAAATTTTGTTTTCTAAAAGCGAATTTTTATGACACGAGAGTCATTTCTTCCACATTTATCTTAAAATGCTTACAGTTTTAGAAATGTTCCGTATTTTTACGCGCGATATCTTTTTGGATATCTTGCTGTAAACGCAGCGCAATCTGGCATTTCTTACTGATATTCGAAATGCTACAAAAGTAGCCACCTCTAAGGTTTGATTGGCTGATGAAACATTTTGCTTTTTAGGGCTGAGTTGCTTAGATTATTATTGCAAATTGAGAAAAATGGGTTTCTCTTTAAACTATGAAGATATACACCACCTTTCTATTGGAAAATGTTATATTCTGCTTACTGCAGCAAGTACCATTTTGCCCTCAAAGCTACAGAATTGCGAATAATGATGGTAATGTGAAATTTAACTATACACAAGCAGAAATCGAATAAAGCTCAAAAAGGCAAAACGCACAACGTAGAAAAGGGTTAATATAATCCCTTAGAAAAGTACACATGCCGCAGAATGTTCCCTGTGGATGAAGGAGAACACGTTTTGCACATTTTCTGCATAAAAATTGTGCGAACTGCAGGAATTAAAATGATTGACGTGGAAGTGGACTGTCAAGCCATCACCGCACCAATTAAGGCTCCCATCGGTGGTTACGGAAGCCAATAATTATAGTGCGCACGCGGATGGCGGCTACGAAGTATATAAATTGCGCAATCTGTGCATACATCACCGTAATCCGTGCATCACGGTTACCTCTGATGAGGGGTTTAAGACAGGATCCAAAACGTCAGGCAAATAAACTTCTGGTTCTGGCGATCGCATTTTCTACTTTTGAACTGCTCCCTGGAACTCGCCTATTCACTTTCATCAGCGACTGGTTTTTAAGTTCAAGCCCCAATAAATGCTTGATTTACAATAAAGTCTTTAGTAGTTATGGATGCAACATTGTATTGGAGTTCATTGAGCTCTCTTAGTTTCAGAAAGGAACGTGGAATATATACCTTATCAACCACGATATATATTTGCCTGCTAAAGCTAAACGAAACCATAAAAGAGTGTATTTAAACATGCGTTTCTTTCTATGCTAACGGAATATGAAGAGAGAAAAAAATACACACCGGAAGTAGATTTAGTTTAATTTTTAAGAAAACACTGTTTTCAATTGCTTGACTACTGATGTCTCAAACTTAACCTCGGGTTTCTGAGCTCAAAAGTCGCGTAATCTTTCATTAATGAATCTGAGCAGATGTCCGAGCACCCCGCGAGGTTGGTCTAAAACACAGCAAGCTTGGGATTGACTGTCCTCAGATGATTCACCTGTGTGGTCTGTAGCTCACGCATTGATGCATAATCATCATCGTGTCTGCATAATTTACACTTACCGAACTTTTGGCAGATTCGCGGTAATTCTGTGATTCGGCCTCCCGAAAGGTTGCACGACATCGCACGGAGAGCTAAAAGCGGAAGAAAACATATGTATATATAGAGCTACCTGCTTGAATATCAGACACATTTTTATGCGTGCAGTCCGAAAGCAGTCCTCCTTAAAAACTTGAGTAGTTTTTTTAAGAGGTACATGTTTTTCTCATGAATTTGTATGGAAAGGAGTATATTAGTAGTGTTTTTGGGGCTTAGAGTAGTATCGAAGGATAGACCACATAACCACAGTTTTGCTGCTTAAACAGTCATTCATAGGAACCATTTCGGACTATTCAGCTGCCGTACTCATGACGCTGTACTGTGCTCCCAAAGGAAAGGATAAGGAAAAGCAATTCGTGAGAAGTTAAGCAGACTGAATTTAACGATTGTGATATCAAAGTGAGCATTTGTCTCAAACTCGTGAGAGTTTTGGCCTCACCGTTTGTTTTATAACTTACTATCTAACTATTGTTATATGCTATCATTGGCTGTGTAAAAGGCAGTTTGCGAGTCCATACGGTCGGTGAAAATTCACTCAGCGAGTGTAAATATCATCTGATATAAATTGGTAAGACAAAGAGCTCGTGGCTCAATGGTTAAGGGGTTTGACTCTGCTTAAAAAGGTTGCGAGTTCGAGGCTTGGGTGGGACACCACTTGGGTCTGGGTATGACTGGCTGATGACGGCTATTGGGCCAAAAAAGGCTACTTCAGTCTCTCTTGCCTTTGCGGGCAATGATATCAGTCTTTACAATGTGCTCTAAAAGAATCACAAGATCTTAAAAAGCACATGATTGATCAAAGGGAGCCCTAACGGACTGCTTCTTCCTTACTGCAGGGCCAACCAGTCAACAAAAATTAGTCTGGGTTAAATCCTTTACTCTGTAAATTTATTCTTCATAGTTTACTAATTGTCCGTTTGTTCGACGTTCACCTCAAACCCTTTAAAATAAGATATAACTAAACAGCATTTACCGAAAAAACGAG